GGGTCAAGATTCCCCCCCTTCAAACGGTTTTTGTACAGGGTCCGTGGTGAACTCCAAAACCTGAGCTGTTGGATGCCCAGAAACCCGTAAAGAGGCAAGACGAAATGCACTTGCGCTTACTTGACCTTTGTGGGAGATCAAACTTGACATTTCTTTCACAGGCTAATTAGGTTGCACACATGCAGCGCCCTCTGTTTATCCAACAAGTAGAATGTGCTGTACTTTTGCCTAAAAGTGAGTGGTAAAAAGGCATGAAATACATTAAATATAAACATTCATGGGAAGGCTGATGGTTCCTTCATTCTGGGCCAATAACGTAAAATACAGTAAAACATGGGTGTTTTCCTTTTATAATCTTCTAAAAATTCCATTATCAGTTACACGTGGAGGGGGTGTACCAGGGGCCACAACAAATTGGAAAGCGTAAGCACGAGTTTTCCTAACAGAATTCGTCCATTTTGATGGGGAACTAATAAAGGATTACCTGGTATCTGTATCTCAACACATAACTGAGCCTAGGTTTTCTAAATTTTAAGGTCTCATTTAACATTACTGACAACGGCAGCATTCCTCTTTTGCCAACCACTTGATTGAAAAAAGTGTAAAAAATATGTCTGTTCGATTGGTCTACATTTTTGGAAATAAAAACTAAATGATTTAAAATAAGGAATGTCTCAACACAAGGTGGATTCTTGGACTAGCTCCTCAGGTTGTGTGGGCAGAAAAGCTTACATTTGTAAAATATTTTTGGACTACATTAATAACGCATAAATGGGGGATTCACTGATGTTTTTATGTTTAGAAACCCCAAACAGAGATGTACCATATACCTTACCTGATAAGATTTATATTGACTATCACTGCAAAAGGTCTTGTCAGTGGGTAAAATTTAGGACACCTCCAACAAAATACTTGTCATTTGCCATTGTACTGATCGCCGGGGGGTGATCATAGACTTCACTTCACATCTGTCTTTTAAACTTGGGAGTGCTTAAGGTTCCAACAAATTAAACAGGTACAGTAAATGCTTGTTAAAGTAGGCTAGTGTATGTCAGTGTAGTGCTTTATTCCAAAAATAACTAGGATAGAAGCGGGGACAAACGCGAATACATCTCAACAAACTATTCAAATATGATACAATCAAATATTAAAAAAAATGTAAACGTGTAATAATCACTTTAGTAGCCTTGAATTAACTTAAATTTGAGCGCATTGCAACAAGCGAGTGCGTTCCATCCTTCCTCCATGCGTAAATACGCACGGAATAATCTTGGTAATGATTTTATCAGAGGGGTTGAATAAAGAAACAGATTATAGTGATAATTATAGAGCCAAATGCATTAACCAACATAGACTGACCACTCTTCAATAACGTTTTCATTCACTTTAAATGTATCATATCAAGCAAGCACTGCCTCTTTCGTAAATCCATCTCAGTAGTGTGAACTTACAGTCTTTTATCTCTGTGATCCATCATCAGCGCCGACCCTTGTGTTACATTGTTGCATCTGATTGTGTTGGAGAAACAGCGGCAGATCCTTGGACAGCCGAAACCCGGAGCGCACTTGCATCCGTAGAAGCCTAAAACAGACAGGAACAAGAGCGCTGGCACTGATGTCCACATTCTGGAAAACGCACAGAAGCCGGGATGCTCGCTGAATGCTGCGCATTAAGATCTCTGGCCCTCCCCTAAAGTCTCTTTTTCGTCATCGAACCCGTGCGGAGGACAGTCTCAGCCACTTGTTACTCAACTTCTCATCAAGTGGCTCCTGTGTCGCAAAGTCGGCTGAGGTTTATGTTATACTCACATCAAAGTGGAAAAACTGTCTGTTACACCACACAGTAAAGTCAGACGTTGTAAACAGCTGTTTTGTTTTTAGTCATTTGGTAGTTGAATATTACTGGTTTGATCCATTACAGTAAGTCAAGTCCTAAATCAGCCTTAAATCACAGAGTTACAGTTCAGAGTGCAGATGGTTTTTAAGATGGGAACAATTCAATAAAACATATAAATATATTTATACATTTAGCATTTTCTTGTAATTGCACACCTTCTATTGACTATGGTTAAATGTGCTTACCTCCTTTAAAATAATTGTTTTTATGATTATGATTATGATTCTTTTTATAAAAAGAGGTCCCATTGGCTACTATTATAATAAAAATAGATGCATTTATAAAGTGCTTACAGTGGTGCTGCCAAGGGGTGGCCAGGGGAGCCCGGATACAATGACTGACCAAGCTAACCAAGCTGACCAGCCATGAACAGCTGCTGTGAGACTCTCTTTGTGCCCACTAGCTTTTATAGTCACTAGAAGCACATTCATGTGCCCCTTGTAAAAGTTTCTGTGTGGTATCTCTATTATAGCTAAGCTAACGACTAACTCTTCAGTACCTGTGTGTGTCTGTGGAGGGAGTATCAGTGCGTGGGATCATTGTCAAGAGAAATAATGCAGTCTGGTGCTTCTACAGCTGTCAAAAGTCTAAACCATTGCACCATAACAGAAAAATAGTAAGTAGAGAGTTAGCAAAAACTAGCAAACTCCTGTGAATGATGCCTCTCAATCAGCATATTTGAAAATGAGGGCAGCAGTTTCCCTCCTCTGATTAGAGGGTGTTAACACTCTTTGTGGTCCTCTGTGAGGTCCAGGGTGATATCAGAGAGGCGTTTTGAGGCATTTTCAACCCATGAAATGCAGATTTTCATAGATTTGGTAAGAAATATTAATACCAGAATGTGTTTCTTCACAATACAGTCATATAATTTAGTTTACAGCTCAAAAATGCTCAAGTGGGGAGTAGTACTTTAAATCAATAATGTATAGTTTGCATAATAGTTCATGTGAAGGAACAAATAGCCAGCCGCTTGTGTAAGTCCGACTGCTCCCCTGGCTTCTGGTTTGGTGTGCCATCCATCGGCCGCACATATAAAAAAATTCTGGTCTTGCCACTGTATCCAGAGCGCCTCACAATCTGCCTCTCATTCAGCCATTCATACACACACCAATCGAGCATCCTCAAGCATCAAGCTAGCATGCAACGTGCTGGTCCGACCATCAGGATCAATTTGCAGTTCTTGCTTTAGGACATTTTGGCATGTGGACAAGAGGAGCTTCAATTTTACTAGAGAGACGTTTTTTTCAAGGACCCTTTATTTGAATTATGTTAATTGTGTGCACGGATTAAGGGATGATCTCAGTGGTCAAGGTCTACACCATGCCCAGTCAGCATGCATGAGACAGAAGAATAAATGGAGCTGTATAATCTATTGAAACACCAAGGCCTTGATGTGTTCCTTGGCAACTTAAATATTTAGATTTTGACTTCCACTTTCCACCATACCAAAGTGAACCGCTTACAAAGGTGACAGATAAGATGACTGCAGTCTCCAAACAGGCAGGTTCATTATAAGAGGGAGAAGGATTATCTCACAGCTGTGTCTGAGAGTGCAAGTTTTACATTTTGCTTATATATTTACAGATAAAGTTTCACATTTTCTGTAAATGCACCAGGTGTAAAATTATGCTTAATAGCTTAATTTAGTAGTCTACTTATCTTAGTCAGCTGTCTGCAAATACACAGCAAACTTGAGGATTGTCGGAATGAGTTGTTGTGTTTCCAGCATCACCCTTATCTTTTGATTATGTTTCTTGTGCCTGTAATTTCTGTGTATTTAAATATAATTAAAATGTCTTACATACAAGAAGCCAAGTCAATTGGACTGTTTCCCTCAGGAGGACAGTGTGACCCAAAGTCAAGACTCCCATAACTGTAAGCTATTTCGTTTGGCGCCAGTTATGTTCTTGATAAAGGCAAGGCGATTTTATGTAGCCTTGAGACACAAAATGTTTTAACACTCGAAAGATTATATTCCATTCTGAAATTGAAAACATGGCGCACCTAACATGACTCAGGTAAAACAAGACATTCACTTCCAGTACTAAGCGAATGCTAAAGTTATGCATGGAATTAGTCAAAACAGTCTGCACAAGATAAATTAATAAAACCACCAAACATGGTCATGTAAGGAGGACATAATGTACTGACTGTGCCAAACTGTTTTCTGTCTTGACGTTTTATCTCCACTGGGTGGCGACATAGCAACAGAAAAACAACAGCTGGCAAACCAGTGGTCGGTTTTAAACCGTATATTTAAAATAGTAAGGAGTCATGTAAAAGTAACGTTAGGTAAATAGGCTAAAACAAGCAAAGAGACTCTCGTATTTTAAGGAGTGATGTTCACTTTTTCCACTAAGCCTGTTTGGCATATAATATATATATTCTGTGTCTACTTACATTGGTTTAATAAATAGTTGTTGTTTTTTTTTTACCTCAACTCCTACTTTGAATTAAATATACTATAAGGTACCAACAGTCAATCACACCATACATGCCATGACATTGTAAACACAGTACAGTCTGCAGGGTGTAGTGTTGTGCGCAAATGATGTTGTAATTTCCGACTGCACTGAAAGGCAGCATCAGTTCCGGGGAAGTGGGCTTGGTTGAAGTTGCCTTCACAAGCTGATCTGCGGTCGGATTTTGAAAACACCTCCCCAACGAATAGGCTCAAACACTGGCTGCGTACAAACCGATTCTAGGTCAGCACTTACAGAAAGCACAATCCAGGAAGCCAGGAAGTTAGAGTTGCCACTGCTGCGGTCAAAAGTTGTAGACATAAACAGCAGCTGTACACTTAGAAATATAGAAACTTTTCTTTCTTTCTTTTTCTGCCTATTTACTGAAAACTAACGATGGACAAGCTTCGTCGTGTGTTAAGCGGACAAGACGACAATGAAGAGTTGGGTCTCACTGCACAGGTAGCTAACGTTACTGTATGACTGTGCTACTTTCTTTTCCTGTCCTTGTTACCGTTCAGATATTTGCTATTAATGCTAATGTGCTTTTCTTTTCTTTTTCTAAGTTGGTTTAGTAAGCTGTGAAAGTGAAAGTGTCCCCAGACGTTAGCTAATTAAACTGAAACAGTTTCATTATCATGTTTCTGTTCGGTGTGGGGTGTGTTTTTGTGTTTTTGTTTTTTGCAGCTAGCTATCATCCTTCTGTCAGCATTTAATACACTGCATTTGTTTGTTTATTTATACTTTTTGTTTTTACACGCGTTTCACGATGAGGAGGAAATGAGGTAAGGTGACTTGAGCCCTGTGTTTTTATATCACCTGGTGATTCTGCTTATATTATTGGTTGTTTTTGCGCAAGTTGAGTGTACTGAGTAATGTCCTTTTTAACTTAGACCTGTGCTGTGTGTCTGTGTGTGTCTGTGTGTTAAGATAATACTGTGACTAGGTGTTGTTTGCTCGGCTTTGGCCGTTATAGTAGAGTCACCAGTGGGAAGCCTGGGGGTCTCTCTGCAGGTCATTCAGTTTGTCTTGTGACATCCTCCCATTGTTCTTACCAGGTCCTTGATGCCAGCTCTCTCAGCTACAGCACCAGGGTGAAATGGTTCGTCATATGCTTTGCTGGAGGCATCCTGTGTTCAATACTCGTGAGTTTTCTGTGGCCCTTTATGTTGAAAAGGCAGCTTGTATGCTCTGTCTGCCTTCACACAGACATTAGGAATGCAGAGCGTACACAACACGGGTAATACTGTTACCCATGGTCCAAGTTAGGGTTAGACACTGACTCTTAATACGCACCCTGTATATATGCATATTACATTAATGCACTCCCGTTGGTTTTTCTGTCCTGCACGTTGTAAATATCTTTCCTGCACAGTTTTTGATCTTTTTTCATCTTTTTTCATCTTTATTTATTTATATTTTTAAAAATGACTGCACCAATGCACCGAGACATGTTCCCTGTACGTGTAAAAACTTACTTGGCAATAAACCAAGTTGGTTTGTAGGCACTATAAAACAAGTTGTGAACATGGCTCACTGCCATTGCCATCAAGGCAAAACCCTGCCCTGTTGTGCTTCACACGTATGCTTAATTAAGATATATAAAGGCTTAATGTCGTGAAAGAGCAGAATGTGTCAGTTTGTGTGTAGTTCACAGTTCAAATGACAGGAAGTCATATGACAGGCAGTATTTGCTGATAACACTTTGAAGCCACTGCATAGTCATAATTCACACTGACGAAGCCCCAACACAGCCTCTAAGTGTAGCCCCCGTCTGAGGATCTCTGCACATTTAGCAACAAACCACGTGTAATCTTAAAGTCTCTCTTCCATTACCTTTTACCACTAAGGCTTCTCGGTAGAAATAAGCAATGCCAAGAAGTTGACTCCTTTTTTATTAGCTGCAAGTCAAATATGCATCAACGTATGATTTTAAGCTTTATTCGTAACTGTGTTCTCTCAGTGCACACTCAACACTAAGTGTGCCACCACTGAAAATGATCAAAATAATGTTTGTGGGTTATTAAACAAAGCCCTGTGGTATTTTGGCACTAGGGGGAGCTCATTATGTTTCAGTAAAAACACAAGACAGCCCACAGAATGTCTTGTTTTTGTTTATTTGTTTTCTAAAATAACACAAGCGTCAATCTTATTCAGGATTCAGTGAACTTTTTAGTAAGTGTGGTGACATTATTCTGTGTAGCTGACGGAGACTATGTTCCTGTTTTACCAGGGTTCAGCACTGCTGTTCCTTCCAGGTGGAATC